CAGCAAGAACGTAATGGTAGGTGCCAGCTTTCTGAATTACAGGGTGACTGCCTGAGCTGATCCGAAAAAGCAAGTGTCTTTTTTATACCGCATAAAAGGCTGAAATGTTTACATATCAAAAGGCTATAGGCCAATTTCTGTCAAAATTACACATGAAGTTAAGCAGTACAAGCAATTTATTTAAACACTAGTCATTGTAGAAGAATTCAAAACCATATGCTCTTTTAGCAGTTTTTCACAAACGCATCTGACCCATGACTTGGCTAGACATACAAGCTTCATAATTTACTCTAAATTTCAAATCCCCCTGACGTTTAAATAAAAGATCTTCATTAATGAGGTTTACATGAATGAAAACGTTAGAAGCTGATATGGGTTAGCTAGGGGCTTCGGGAAGGTCTGTGCCGGCTGCTCTCATTTTCAAATGACTGACTTTGCTAATCATTTCAAGAGAAAGTTCCTTTGAGAACAAATTATCCTCATTTGCATTCTGTGATTTACAAAAGCCACGGTGCAGTCACTTTGAAACAAACTTTGGTAAATAACTCAGCTGAAAGCCGATTTCTGCAACCCGGGAAGCTCATGCTGTTTTCTCTTTCTGAGGCCTTGGGAAACACGTCATTTTGGGGGGACGCCCCTTTCTGTCCCAGGATTAAGTGGCGCTTTCCTAACGCTTTGATTAGTTGCCGCTTTTATTTTGAACTTGCAACATTTCTAACAAAAATCAGCAAGTAAATATTTTAGGATTGCAAGCCGCAGACCCCACATTTTGCCCGTGGTGCCCTGCGGTAGGGTGGTTCCCAGCTCCTTGCTCAACTCCACGGTCCTAATCTTGGGAGGAAGATCACTTGGGGCTCCCTGAGACATCTTCCAAGGAGTAGTAGAAACAGGGGACTGGTCTGGGGACACTGATTTTTTTTTTTTAAAGCCAAAATGCAAACAGCAAAAACAATTTGCTTGGTGAAACCGTAGGAGGTCTCCGTTGCCCTCTGGCTTCGGTGGGATTCTTGGGTCCTCCTTACAAAACTCCCCACACCTTTAAGGATGCACCAGCTTTTTCATCGAATTCGGAAACTCCTGCCTAAACCATGTACCTAAAAACCCTGTCTAAAATGTCCAATTATGAACTGCCCCATGTATAGGCAACAAATTGAGTGTTAAGAAAATCTGGCCGGGCGGTGGTGACCCATGCCTTTGAATCCAGCACTTCAGAGGCAGAGGCAAGCCCGATCCCTGAGGCCAGCCTAGTCTACAGAGTGAGTTCTAGGACAGTCAGGACAACACAGAGAAACCCTGTCTCAAAAAAACCAAATATAATAATACTAATACTACTACTAATATCCTGAGGAGTTGGGGCCTAGGACCCGTTTTTCCGGAAAAAAAAAAAAAAAAAAAAAAAAAAGCTAAGAGAGGCTAGGGTATAAGGATAGCGGGGAGACAGCCCTCTGAGAAGATATCCAGATGCGCGCTCTAAATTTGGGCTCTATGTTTTAAATCAGAAAAGCAATTTAATCTACACTCGGAATCAATTCGGAGGTGACGGTGGTGCAACAGCGGTCTTTGATAGATGCCTAACAGCAAATACACCTTATGCATGTGGAATCCACTGATCCATTCTTTAATATCTTAAAAATGAGGGCTATTACTGGGGCGAGTGACTCCTCAACAAACACGTTTTCATAGACTTCTGCGTGGTGATTGCTTTGTGTGAAATCGTGTTTGGGTGATAATAGGGAAAATCAACAGCGTGTTTACTTATTTCTCACCGAAGCCTCGCAGGCTGCCTCCGGACGCGCTAGTCCTCCCATGCTGAGCCGGGCATGCGGGGCGACAAACAATCGCTTAGCAACTGGAAGGGAGGGACAATTTGCGTGCCTCGCATTTGTTATTTCAATTGCGCCGGGGCTACTCAGGACCAAGATTGTTTCTGGTGCGTTGGGGACACTTTATGGTTTCCGCAGAGAAAGCACAGTAAGGGAGCCGGGCCCCTGACTGCCTTCAGAGTCTGCCTCCCCGCGGACAAACTAGAACAACCTTGGGCTGAGGGGACAATTATGCTAGGGAGGCTCTGCCAGGAGGAAGCTCTCCCGGAGCGCAGCGGTTAAAAGCCGGTGCAGTTGTGTGGTTCGGGTCTGTGAGCTCCCTTTCTGGGAAAGTCCCGTCTTCGAGGAAAGAGCGCTAAGAGACTTTTCTTTATCTTCAACCCTGCTGAACAGGCTCTGCTTTTGGCTTTGGGCAGGGGTGGGACCAGCACACTCCTTTGTCCCAAAGTAAAGAGCAGAAACAAACCTCATTAAATACTAAGGTTTTAAGAGATTTAATTAATGTTGGATTTGGTTAGATTATTTTAAATCCCGAGGCCTCCAAAGGAGGGATAGTTTTCCAGGTGGCAGTGTTAGGTCTTGAGCTCTGACACCCTGGACTCCAGGTGAAGCGCTTTTTTCTTCTAGGGTCCCTGATACAGCTAGAGGACTGCAGGGAATGAAGCGTCGCAGCGAAATCCGGGGCTGGCTAAAACTGATCCTTAAGTACCAAGCTGAAGGAGACACGAAGAGGTGGGTGGGGGTTGCCTTAATCTTTTCAAAACTCTCCGAGGCTCTTTCAGATCGGTGGATGAATACCTGTCGGGTCTGGTTCTGAGTGGCCTTTCAGAAATTGCAGGGGTCCAGGAATCTACCCCAGGTGTTCAATGGCCCTCCTGTCTCTGCCTGGCACCCCTGCAAAGGTCCTTAGAGAGCTGCCCGCGCACGCGCCTTACCCACTCGCAACCACCAACACAAACGCAGTAAAGTCACCGCTGAAGCTGCAGCTTCTCGTTCTGGTCCATCAATGTATCTATCTCTCTTTAGAATTGAACGTGGGAAAAGTTGACGATCAAGCAGTCTGTGTGTCCTGGAACCTGGTGACTTTAAAGTCACTGTAAATGGAAAGTTTACTTCTCTGGGTAGGGTTGGCCCTTCTTAAGGAGGGTCACACTCCTAAGAGACTTTTATTGTTTCTCTTAAAAACAAAAACAAACCCTACCCCACCTCCAAATTGAAGCCGGTTTCTATCCAGTCCTATAATTCTCCCTACCACCACCTCCACTTTGCCAGAGTAAGCAAAGAGCCAGGTGTCCCAGGCCATGCGCGGGTGGGCTGAAGGTCCACGCGCGGAGGCCTAGGAGCAGAAGCTCACTCTCTTAGCTCTGGGTGGCTGCTCCCACGCACAGACTGAGTTCTGCGTCCAGGCTGGACCAAACTTACCGCTATGTTTCTCTAACCCAGGAAGAGAAATTTACAAGAGGGTTCTCCCCTAGTACTAGGGGGCACTTAGCATTTATTGTACGACGACTTTAGACAGCTTTGAGGTCATCTCGGGCTTATCAGTGCAGAGAGGGAGAGAAATCTCCACAAAATGGATAGACCCTCAAAGGCGGTCCTCCAGTCCGGCCTTGGCTTGAGTAGTTGGAGAGTGGCCCGCGCGAAGGCACGAAGATGGAGCGCTCTGCAATTCCGGGGCAGGCACCCGGGCCACGCGACTTCGGGCCTCTGCTTTCGTTCGGCGCAGACGATCCCAGACGTCGCCCAGCCTCCTGCCCGCAGATCTGGGCAGCCTGCGCCTCCCGCGGCCTTGGCCGTGCCTCACGGAGAATCCCGCAAATCATCAAGGCCGCCCGCAGTGGCCCGACTTTCGTCCAGGCTGCTGGGGTCCCACGGAGGCCAGCGTGGGCCTGGAAGGACAACTGGAGGCCTTTAGGAGAGCTAGCTCCTTGAAGTGGGGAAATGCCACTCAATATGCTGAGGAAGGAGACAAGCCGTCCCCGTATACCCCATTTGAATTAAAGCCCCCAAACAGTTTTGGGGGAACACACCCCTTTTCCCAGAATAATAATAAAAAAGGTACAGAACCTACCGGCACCCACGCGGGAAGCCTCTGGAAGCATCGCTTCAGAGCGCTCCTCTCGGTGGCGAATTTTAAACAGTGGTTGAATTTGGTCTTCAACTGTTGTGTTAGGAGCTAGGGAGCGTCAGGGTAGTTTTCAGACCCAAAGTGACCGCAAAAAAGAAGACAGCTTTTACGAAGCCCCACGCCTTTCTTCTTTCGTCGTTTATGCTCTGAGAAAATTTGGCTTTCGCAAAAACAAAAGATTTTGAGGATACGGGGGAAAAAAGTGAAATTAGGCAGCGAGTTCACAGGGGGTGGTGGTGGTGGTTGGTGGCGAGAGGGCGGTGGAATTTTCAGTTTTAACTTGAAGGACGCAGCCACCCTCATTTTCTAAAAGCAAACAAATTTCGAAAGAGAGTAAAAAGTAATCCTAAAGGAAAATTGGCCACAATGAATTTGAGCTACAAGCAGAGGAAATCGCACCCCATAATAGAGAGAAAAGGGTCGGGGCGGAGAGGTCGGTGGCGGAGCTGTTAACGGCGGCGGGACAATAGTATTAATAAGATTAACCTGGGCAATTAGGCCGCCCGCCCAGCTAGGCCGGGGCCGCGCCGGGGCTGCTGAATGGAAAAGATTAGGTTAATTTCATTAATTCTCAATCCACAATCTCTTTTTCAGGCCCTGTAGCCCCCCTCCTCTTGGCATCTCTCCCCCTCCCCTGCAAGCGCCCCCCCTCCCCGCGCGCTCCCCCATTCCACACCACCCAAAGGAAAAGAAAAGGACCAAATCTGGTTCTGTTTGTCATCTGCATATTACCAGGAACTAAATCCAGGATGACGTCGACTCAGTATAAAACCAACGAGAGGTTGAGCCGGTCGGAGCTGAGTCCTACCCGCGGGTTGAGTTCAGCTAGGCGGTGGCGAGGGGAGGAGAGGGCGGGAGGAGGGAGCGCGGACGCAGGGGGCGGGGAGGGGCGCGAGTTGCGCGCTCGCCCGCGCTCTCTTTCGGTTTGCTCGCCCGCGGGAGGAGAGAGTGGGACAACCCCCACCCCCCACCCCAAACAACACCACTTGGAGACTTCTCCTTCTTCGGCGCGTCCCCGCCGCCCCCCGGTCCCGGCGCGGGGCTCGGGGATGCCCGCCAGCATGTTCAGCATCGACAACATTCTGGCCACCCGGCCGCGCTGCAAGGACTCGGTGCTCCCGGTGGCGCCCAGCGCCGCGGCTCCGGTGGTCTTTCCGGCTCTGCATGGGGACTCGCTCTATGGCGCGGGCGGTGGCACCTCCTCGGACTACGGCGCCTTCTACCCGCGTCCTGTGGCCCCTGGAGGCGCGGGCCTCCCGGCCGCGGTCGGCGGCTCCCGCCTAGGCTACAACAGCTACTTCTACGGGCAGCTGCACGTGCAGGCGGCGCCCGTGGGCCCGGCCTGCTGCGGGGCTGTGCCGCCGCTGAGCGCCCAGCAATGCTCCTGCGTCCCCACACCCCCAGGTAGGGTCGCGATCGCGTGTGGGCCTTCTCCACAGCGGCAGTTGGTGGTTGCTGGGGCGTGGACGCTCGGTGCTACTTGCTTTATTCACCTGGCACCAACTTTCTCCCTTTGCAAACCTTCCCCTCTCTCCCATTTATTTATTATCATTATTTTTTGGTCGCCGGGTACGAGACTTTGCACACGACTGTTGCAAACTTTAAGCTAGAGTTAAAGAAACCGAGCCACCTGGAGTCTCGTGGAGATTCCACGCCCGCGCGCGCGGAAATTAAGCGAGGGCGCAGGGAGACCACGATTGTAAAGTACCAGAACTGGCTTTGGATGTGTGCGGGCGGACGCTCCTTTCAAGTCCGAGCATCCCTGGTCTCTGCGCTCCCCAAAGACCTATCGCCCCTTGCAGACCTTTTTATTTTTAAGTGAGAGAGGGCAGCGAGCGGGTTGGCGTACCGTGCGGAGGGAGGATGACTGACCGGCGTCCCTCCCTCTGTCGCAGGCTACGACGGCCCCGGCTCTGTGCTGGTGTCCCCGGTGCCGCACCAGATGCTGCCCTACATGAACGTGGGCACGCTGTCGCGCACTGAGCTGCAGCTGCTCAACCAGCTGCACTGTCGGCGGAAGCGGCGGCACCGCACCATCTTCACCGACGAGCAGCTCGAAGCCCTGGAGAACCTCTTCCAGGAGACGAAGTACCCAGACGTGGGCACTCGGGAGCAGCTGGCCCGGAAGGTGCACCTCCGGGAGGAGAAGGTGGAGGTAGGCAAGGGGCCTAGTGGTGGGTGGGGGCGTTTAGCGGTCCTTCCCTGCACGCGGGGTTTACTCGGTCCTCCGTGGGGCTGCGGCCACTCTAAGAGCATCCCGAAGGCGGCGGCCTGGAGGCTGCTGGAAGGCGCTTTAGGCCCAGGAAGTGGAGTGGAAATGCGGAAGCGCTGCGGGTGCGCCCCCTCCTTTTGTTGACCCTGGGCTCAGCGGTTGCTTGCAATTTCACGCGACCAGGCTGAGAGCCCACGACCAGGCTGCCCCCTGGCCACGCGGAGCCACCCGAGTGCCCTGGCGTTGGTGGGAAGCGACCTTTTGGTCACCACTGTTTTGTTGCTCCCTTGCGCAACAGGTCTGGTTTAAAAACCGCCGAGCCAAATGGAGACGACAGAAGCGGTCCTCTTCGGAGGAGTCGGAAAACGCCGAGAAGTGGAACAAGGCGTCCTCGAAAGCCTCGCCCGAGAAGAGGGAAGAGGAAGGTAAAAGCGATTTGGACTCGGACAGCTGACGGCCGCGGGCCGGCCGGGGCGCTTGCCTGACGCAAGGACTTGCACAGACAGACGATGCTACTTGCACACGCCCTGCCTTGCGGGAGGGGGTCGAGAAAGCAACGAGGAGCTAGCTGTAAATAATGTACAGGCCCGGGACCGCCGGGGACTGGCGTGGGGGGACCGCAGCCCCACTGTCCCGGGCTGCCTGCGTGAGCCGCGTTCCCCACCGTAGTATTTATAGTTAAGTTAACGGTGACAATACAATAAAGTGATGGCGATGTAGACCAGCCATGTTGTATTTCGTACCCTAGTGCCATCCGTTGAGGCCTAGAAAAGAAATCTGTTTAGTTGCAACGTGGAAGACAATTTAAAACGCAGCGAAGTGGGTGTGGGAGGGTCGGAATTGGTCGCGTTGGGTATCATGGGTCTTCGGGAAGGAGTGCGGAGTGGCAAGCCCGGGTTTCTAAAGCGTCACCTCTCCCATCATTCTTTCCTTCCCTGAAACTTCCTCAGAGCTCCCTCCCACCCACTCACTCACCCACTCACTCGGGGCCTTGACTTTCGAAACCCCCAGACGTAAGGCCATCCACGAATCGAATTCCTGTGCAAAAAGGCCTCAGGGATGAGGGCAGCTCCCCTGGGTGTTGGTGCTTTCTTTCTGGCTGTCACCTCCCCAGGGAGCTGTCCTTCCCTCCCTGGGAGCCTAGACCGTTTGTTTGTTTCTACTACATAGCCTTGGTGCTTGCCCCACACCGGAGTGCCTCCTAGAGCTGTGTGCTGGAGCGCTCGCCCGCCCGCCCGCCCGCGGGGGACGGCCGACCGCCCTAGGTCCTCTGAGTTTTCTAGCTACTCGAGGTGAAGCTTGGGGAGGACCAAGGGGGTCTCTTTTTCTACCGGCTCTGTAGAACTTCCTGACAGAGGAGTCCTTGGAGATGGTTGACCCTCTCTTTCAGTGGGTACCATCCACCCCTGAAGGAAGGAGCACTCCCGATCTTCTGCGCTGGTCTGAAATTTACATTTTCTCTGGAGCAGGGAGGTAACTCTGCCTGCCATCTGTAGCAAGATGGCTTTAATATGTTAAACTTGTAATTGGTTCTACCTTAAGTGTGTTTATCTAGGAGGAAGCCAAAGCCCCATTCCTTAGCTATGGAGCTGGGGGCGGGAGCTTGCTTCCCCCTTTGCCATTTTGGATATTTGGAGCAAGATCTATTCAGGCTGGACACTCTGGTTAGAAATAGTACAGGAAGAAAACAGTGATGTACAGGAAATGCTTTTTTCTGTTTGTAGGATTATAAAGCCAATGAAATTAAGCCCGGGGGTAATGACACAAACTATGTAATAGCACCCAGTATAGTGATTTTTCTTTAATTTGGGATCTCAGGCTGGCCTTGGACTCCAGATCAACCCTTGCGTTCACCTCCTCTACTGGGATCATAGGCATATTACCACCTCCCAGCACTGCTTTTAAAATAAACACTCTTGCTTTATGCAAAAAATAAAGGGACAAGGGTTTGAAGAACAGATCTGCCTACAGGGGAAGATCTCTGTCATCCATACCTAGACTCCATCAGTTTGAGCTGTCTCTGATACTGGCCTCTAGCTGTAAAATAGGCACATACATATATAGCGTCTGCTTTCCGAGGTTGTGAATGTTTCCAGGCACTAATTTCAGAGTGGCACCTGGCATAACAAAATACATTGTGTGGCTGAATAATAATAATAATAATAATAATAATAATAATAAATAATAATAATAATAATAAAGTTAGCATGACTTTTATAATAGGTCAGAACTAATATGTCAGAACTCATGCCCGTTATCTCATTTCATCTTCCAAGAACTGTGAGCTGGGGCATAACGTCAGCATTATTCAAGTGAAGAGGTTTCTGAAAGCTTAAATAGTTTTACATCATGCAGTACATAAGAAATCAAGGGCACATGGTTTTTACCCAAGTGCATCTTGCCCGCCATTGGGGATATTTCCGATAGCCACAGTTTTTGTGAGAAACATTCAAAGAAGCCAGCCAATTCTAGATGAGTCTTAAACGGCTTTTAATATACCTTCACTTTGGATGCCAGACTTCCAGGGTGACAGGGCATTGGCTGCCATACACCCCACTTGGTAACAGTTGAGTTGCCGGATGAGGTCTTCTGTGTTGTTGGACAAAGGTGTGCCTCGGAGGCATCCATGCAGCATTCTAACGGAGGACAGCATCGTTCCTTCCTGAGAGCTCTTATTTACAGCAAACTCTCACGTCTCCTTGCATCTGACCTGCCCTCCAGCTTGCTATAAAAGGGAATCTTATTTTCAAGAAAGTTTTCATTTCTCTGGTCTGAAAAGAGCTATATGGCAAGTGATGGGGAGAGGGGAATTGAGGGGGTCCTCCCGCAAGAACACCTGGTGAAAAGTCACTAATCAGTGGAGGAGGTGTGCTGATGAAGAGCCTGCAGCTAGTTAGCTATGCCTTGCTTGGCTTAGGGCAGATCGGAGGTGGTGAGAGACCCCCCCCCCCCCCCCAGTCCCCATGCCTGGAGTTCCTTGTGAAGTGCTGTAGCACTCGCCCAGCTCACAGGAAATAAGTATGATAAACGTCTGGAGTGAAGAGGGAAATGTCAGCAGGGTTGGCCTAATTATAGTCCCCCCTCCCTTCTGCATGCCCCCGGCAGCTGGGGGACTCAAACATCTCTTGTAGCTGGCTGTCGGGTGTGAGGCAGGGCCAGATGGGGTCACAGGGCAGCAAGTACTGGGGCCTGGTAATTTTCTTTAGTGGGACTTGGAATCACACTGTTGGAAAGTCGTGCCTACATGTGGGCAAGGTGTGGGCCCCGTGACTTGCCTGAGAGGTTTTCATCTCACACCCCTGAGTCCTGTCCAAGTCAAAGTGAACAAATGGAAGCACAGAGCTAACATCTAGGGCTACCATGGGCACTGTGGTCTACAAAGCTCCTGGTCTTGAGTTTTGGTAAATCAAGATGCCTTGAAGAAGCTAAGCCTGTTCTTTTGGATCGAGATGTAACCTGAGCAGAGAAGTCCACCAATAATAAATGACTGTGGGAATGAATGTAGCTGCCTCAGGGGCATGTAGGAATTAATGTACTGTGCCAAATAGTCCAGTAAAGAACAAATAAGTATTCCCTAATAACACTCTAGCATTTTCTACTGCCAGCCCTTCCACACACATCTCAGGCCCATGTTAGCCCACCTTTTTAAATTTATGTTTGTTTATTCGAGACAGGGTCTCACTTGATAGCCCTGGATATCTTGAAATTCTTTATGTAGACCAGGCTGTCCTATAATTTACAGATAATCTGCCTGCCTCTACTGGTGGGGTTAAAAATGTGTGCCACCATGTCTGATGACTTATTTTGCAGGTAGGAATTTGGAGGCTTGGGACCATTGAACAGTAAGTGGCAGAGCGGGTCCTGGTCCCCACTGCCCACCTCAGATACGACCCGCACACCTCATCATCACTCATGATGAGGAATAGTGCAAGATTTCCCAGGTATCCCCGGTCACTTGGGCCACAGAGGGCCCTGGCTGGAAGGAGTTGAAGGGTGAGAGGTAGATGTGTGTATGGAGAAGGGGTAAGATTGGCGGGCGGGGGTGGGGGGGTGGGAGGTGGGGGTGGGGGGGGGTGGGTGTCTTCAGATTTTTATCTTTTTTCCTGAAGATTGTGTAGACATTCTTTGTAGCTAACTTGGCAGGGTTGAGGTGGGGGTTGAAAACTATTGCTGATCAAGCAGAATCCACAGAGTGTGTATTTCAATTATAGCTCTTTGGTCAACAATGTGTTTTATTGACATTTGAACTTTGAACCCAGAGGCTTCATTTTGCTTTTCTGGGGACAGGATGGCCTTAAATTGTGGCAGTCCCACCTTCGCCTGTTGAGTGCTGGGATTAGAGGCATGAGCCACCATGCCCTACTAGACTGTCGTTTATATATGTGTATGTATGTATATGCATGAGCTAGAAGCAGACAAATTCTCGTTCCATTTCATTACATGGTGGCTATGGAAGGCCAGGAGGTAGGAGTGACAGGGAGTTCTATTTCCACGTAGTGGACTGTTGGATCACTGGATTTTAAAATCACCCTGGTCCAAGTTTTTATCAGATTGGAACCTGCAGCAGGTTAAGCTGTCTGTCTGTCTGTCAGCCTCCCTCCCCACCTGCAAAATGGGTCTGTGGGGAGGATTGGTGATAAAGGAAGGAACCCAGCTGAGTGTCTGACACATTCATTCATTATCCCACCCTCTGACCAGCTGATCAATGCCCCACTTAAGCAGATTAAGGAGTGCCCCTTTTTAATTGTTGTTAGTTTAGGAGCCTATGTGTGACCCCAGGATGGCGTGGGCTGCTGAGATGCTAACACTCTCATTCTCCCCAAAGCCCTAGATATAGAGTGAAGAGGAGCATTGGCGGGCGGGTTTGGATTTGATTTCAAAGTTTTGTGAAATGACCTTGAAGTTTTTCCGAAAGTAAAAAAACGAAAACGAACCTGAGCAGCTAGTGCAGAGACCCTTGAACATTCTGGAGGAAGTGGATCTGGGTTGTTAGGCAATGAGGCCCTCTCCTTTGCTGAACCAGGGGAAGCATTTCCCCCAGTGCCTGTCCATAGAGTCATGTGACCAAGTAGAAGACCTCCGTTTATCATGGCTTGCTTGTAAATCTGGAGAAAATAAAAGAGCTCCGTCTTTGCAGTCTGAGTGGTCCATAGAACCAGTAGGGGTGAATTATAGCTTATTATAGCATCTGGAAGTGGACCCATAAGTTTTGGATTCCTGAAGCCTCCATCCATTCTCAAGTGTGCGGTCCTGGGAAGCGTCATCGAGGGACAATTGTAGGAGTCCCTCACCCTCTCCCCTTTCTCAGAGAGTCCTTCCACTTGGAACTTGTGTTTCCCTCTTTTGAGGTCCCCAGTCTGCTGATGGTGTCTAGCAGTCAGGTTTAATGGCATCCACTGCATGCTGCCCAACACCTCCTCTCATGCTCCTGAGGCACCAGAGGCTGATTTATAG